ACCCTGGGAGTCAATGGCAGAGTATTGTTATGGTTGGCTAGCTATCTGTCTGGTCGTACTCAGCGTGTCAAGGTGTGTGAGGCTCTCTCTGATGCAGTCCCATGCTCAAGAGGTGTGCCCCAAGGCAGTGTTCTTGGGCCGCTTCTCTTTGTCCTTTACACGAGTGACATTTCCGACGTCATACCTTGCATTGTTGTTCATCAGGAGTTCGCGGACGACATCATCCTAGATTATTCTGATTCAGATCTGGACACTGTTTGCAAGACGTTGACTACAGCTGTGACACGTCTGTCTGACTGGCTCTCCGAAAATTGGGCTTCTGCTGAACACCGGCAAAACCCAAGTCATGGTAATTCAACCTCGGGGACTGACTGGCGACATACCAGTCGTGAAATGTAAGGATCAAGCCTTAACTGTTACCTCCACTGCCAAATACCTTGGCGTAACCATTGATGACCAGCTATCCTGGCAGCCACATGTCACCAGTGTTGTGCAGAAGGCGTCAGTCGCCATCAGCCAGCTATGGCGCCATGGGCGATCTCTGCCCATAAGAGCCCGCAGACTTTGGTACATTGGCATTGTGCAAGCACGACTAACGTACGCATCCAATGCATTCTTCCCGTCGCTGACACAGCAGCTGCAGAGTCGTTTAATCAAATCCAGCAAATCCGGAATTCGTGCAATTTTCCGACTCTCCAGCCGTGCATCCACAGTCCCCCTCCTCGTGCGCTTATCTATTCGATCCCTAACTCACATTTTTAACTACAAGGTTTTGTTTTTTGTTTTCCGTTGCCTACATGATCTTGCAAGTCCTCTTTTCTGCACCTACTTTCAGTTGATGGCTAACACAGGCCAAGCATCCCGGGATGATCGCCGAATTACTCGAGGACAGGAGCAGCGGCTACTGCAAGTGCCTTTCCTTCCTGGACCTTCCGGTCGTCAGTCATTGACATTTGTGGGAAGCACTCTTTGGAATGCCCTTCCCAGCGATATTCGCCTCCACAGTGCGGCGGTTGCCTTTAAACTGGCTCTGAACAGAATTAATTGTAATTTGTAACCACCTTGCTCGGCATCCCTAAACATTACTGCATGTTTTCTCGGTGTTTTCTTCACTGCGTGCTTACACATACACACACCCATTTGAATTATATACAAACTTTGTGCTTTGGAATTATCATGTTATGATTCTTTTAAATATTTCCTTCTCTCATAATATTATATTCGTTCTTAGCAGGAACTGGAGGTTTTTCCTCTGGTGAGAAGGCAGAATTGCCTGTGCTCTAAACGAATTCAAATAAAAGAAACAAACAAACAAACAAAAATATTCACTCTCGTGTAATCAGTGGTGCTAGTGAAGCTTATAATTAGTATCAGATCCACTCTGATTCTCTGACTCTGATCCACTCTGACCCTGATGTCGTTTTTTTGTTTTTTATTTTTTCATTTATTGAACCAAAGAAAAAATGATGGCACCTACATGTATGTACAGGGGATGGCCCACGCCTGGTATAAAGTAAACGTAAAAGAGAAAAAAGAAAAAGTAGTACAGCACACGGGGTCGCCGTGGTAAACAAAGAGAGAGAAGAAGGAAAAGAAAAGAAAGAAAGAGAGTTTTAAGCAACTCCATGTACATCAACCGTACTTGTGTCATACGCTTACAATGAACAGTCAGCAGCCGCCAGAACAGCCGAGTGAACAGGTCAGTATTTTCCACTTGAAATAACATCCACCCCAATGCCTCATTCTTAGCATTCTTTTATTCGCTTCCATGTAATTGGGCTTATTGCCCGTTTGGTATTGCGAATTCAAATAAAAAACAACAACAACAGGAAGTGGCACTGAAGAGCGCCGGTAGCCGCGCAGACTAGCAACCATGGCTCTCACTAGGCTGAAGGACAATTTGGTCCGGACGAAAGCCATGGTGACGGAAAAAGGCTCGTTGCGCTTGTCGCTCAGTTTGCTGGCAATCCTGGCAAACAGCGCAGATGAGGCCTTTCCCTGTCCACCAGTGGTGGAGAAGACAATGGGCACAAAGGAGGAGTGCTCTACCTCCAGAACTCGCCGCTCATATTTCCTCCGCTTCTCCTGCTCATGCTTTCTGTAGACAGACGGGACTGTAAGGTTTCGATTTGAGGGGATAAAAGGGTTGAACACCCGAACATCAAACATTGTCCTCTCAAACCTACTCCCATACAACCCCCGCGCTGCCACATCCAGCCTAGCATGGTCTTCGATGTTGGTCGACCGAAGAGGGAACATTTCACCGGACAGGGGCTCCAGTGCAGGCTCCACACAGACATCGTGGGCTACTTCCCGCAGCAAATTAGCGGTGAGGTCGCGAATCTCATTGTGCCGCATTCCAGGGAAGCCACCAACTGAACACGACAGTGCATGCGTCGTGTCAAACTGCTTGCCGCAGACGCAATGGGTTGGCAGTCGGGGAGGGGTCCAGCCGTATCGTAGGCACAAGGCATCGCGAAATCCCGACTTCGGCATCGTGAACTGAAAGCGGCGAGATGGCCGACACGTGAGCCAACTTGAGGCACCCTTCTCCGCAGCCAGATCCAAGATCCTTTGGTCGTCCAGGCTGAGCTGGTCCCTGAAGGAGGACAGGGCCACAGCTTGATCATGGCGTGCGGTCACACGTACATCCAACTTGGCGGCTTTGATGGCAGCAAACACGTCGTCAGTGGATTCCTCCTGCTTCAGTAGCCTCTCCACTAGTGGTTTGGTGATGGAGACAGAGGCGGAGTACTGGCTGGATAAACCGGTAGGGATGATGAGTCCCAGGCCACCATTGCGACAGGGGAGCGATAGCATCGTGCGCTCGCTTTCACTCGGAGCTTGGCGACCAGTGAGTGCGGATGGCTTGTTCCAGGGGCACAAGGAGATCAGAGATAGCAGGCATGGTCCTGGCCAGAAAAAACCACTTGTGCCGTAGGGCATGAGTGAAGACGGCATAGGCTGCTTGAGGCTGAGATGCTGCGTACTTGGCCAAGACGTGTATTTCGTTGCACCACGATGCGACCTTCTGGGACACGTACTCAGAGCAGAATTGATCTGTGCCCAGACCAGCACCGAGATGACGATAGCCATCCGTCCTGATGTCAACCCCAGTGTTGGCAAAGAGTTCTCTTGCCAGTTCCAGGAAACGAGGCTTGACAAGCAGGACCGACTTGGACGGATTGATGTTGTAACCGTACTTGCTACCTCGATCGATCAGGATGGACAACCATGTACGTATCCTGCGCAGGAATCCAGCTGATGCCCCCTGATGTCGTCAATCATTTTTCTGCAACTTTTCCTCGCCCACTTTATTTTTATGTTTTACTATTATTCACAAACCCAACTCGTAATATGTATATTTTTTTTAAAGGATTGGGAGAAATTCAAACAAGCCATTGCTGTGGCATTCCCTCCATCATCATAAAGCGCACAAAGTATTAATCTTCAGCTGTAAGACTGTTTTGGAAAAGAAGGCAGAGGAATAATCTGGATCCGGGGCCATTAGGATTATCGTCCCTCCTCCTCGTCCTCCTCTTCCTCCTGCTGCTGCTCTTTCCCACTGCTCCCCGCTCCCTTGAATTTTAATCCGATAACCGACAAGCTATTATGTTGAAGGCATTCGTTTGATGGTGCCTGCTGGTCTGTTAGCGGAGACGTCGGGAACCGCTGTCATGCTGGGGTTGGGGGGGGGGGGGGGGAGGGGGGGGGGCTGTGGCTACGCATGCAAAGGGCTACAGTACAGTGCTGAGTCTACGTGATCTTCGTTGGTTGGTTGGAAATTTGGTATGTTACTATTCTACTTCCAGAGAGATAGAGAGAGAGAGACAGACAGACAGACAGACAGACAGAGAGGAAGACAGAGATTTGGAGATTTATATGAAGGATTTTGACATGAAATGGAGAGGTTTGATTCCAGAAAGTTAATTGCTCTAGGAGTTTATGTCGTATCACCCTAAAGATCAGTATGGATAAAGACTGGGCAAGTTGAGAGCAGTGAAAAGAGCGCTAAATGTCCGCCAGTCGCGTTCGGTTCGGACCACAACTGGGTGAGCATTCCAAAGATTGCTCTCAACAAACTGACTGAGAGCGACGTCCAGCGGGATCAAGGAGAAACGGAACTCTCAGCAGCTAGGTTTGACCGCTGAAGGGTGGCCGCAGTGAGAGGTTTCAAAGCGGACTTGTCTTGTCATGCAGACATTTGGAAATGAATGTGGCATTAATTTTGAAAATGAAGATGGCAGGCTTCTGAAAGAGAAGCCGCGTCAAGCTTGGCACACCGACTAGCTCGAGATGTGGGGGGGGGGGGGTTAGTGGGGTCCAGATTCCTTTGCTGCACGGCCGCTCCGACACCGGCTTTTGACAGTGAGTGGGGTTTATGCAGGAGGCCTGGGACTGCATTGAAAGGCCGGAGAAGAAACATTAAATTGTGGAAACAAAATGATGACAGATAAGCCTGTGTCGTGCTCACATACCAGACTTGGTGGGCTCTTGGGTTTAGGGACCTGCTGAGTCGCCATACCTGTCCAATTACTTGCCCGATCGTCCGTGTGACATGGCTGATGTGTGCCTGCCATGAGAGGTCATTGTCGATGACAACACCCAGGTCTTTTGCAGGCGTTGTTGCTTCCAGGGCTAGGAATGTAAGGAGATACAAGACCGGCATTATCGTCAGTGCACGGAGCAATGCTGGTAACGTGGTCGTTACGGTTTATTGGTGCCCATATTGCTCCTTAGTGCCTTAGTGCAGCGGACAGTCAGCCAGTACGTCCTGCTGCCTATCTCGCGTTACGCAACGTGAGCACGGCGGTATGTGAATTTTACTACTACTACTACTACTACTACTAGTACTACTACTAGTACTGAGTACTAGTGCACACTGGCTATGACTGTGTGCGACAGTGTCCATTGGCATTGCGTCGCGATCGCCGCAAACCAATACCCACCATGGCATCAGATTCAGAGCTCTTCTTCGACAAGTATGTGTGAAATGGTGCTACAAAAAACTGTCTGTAGATGGTACAGACGGTGTAGACGGTCTACTACTATACGTAGCTACCTGGTCTACAGCTTCTCCGTGCACTGCCGCCAGTAGCGCTTGATCTAGACCATGCACCAGTTTACTTGCTGTACATCAATCGACCTGCCTGGTCAGACACCTCTACTCTCTAGGCAGGGGTTCCCCTTGGAAATAATCCTTTGTGAACTGCTTGAGCTTGCGCGGAGACGACAGTCTTAGTTTGACAGCTCTGTGGCTGACCCCCTCAAAGCATTTCTACTTCATCACCCGCTTCCGCTGCAGTTGACAAGCTGTGCATGTGGCGGTGTTTGGACCGATTTAAAATTCAATGTTAGTCCCTGTAGATTTCTTTGTATCCTGAATCGCCCGTCATCTCCTTGATACTAGCGGATAGTTATCGTCGCCACTCCCTTGTCCATTGCAGGGAAGCGAGGCCGAAACGTTACCTTCGAATTTGGCAAAGGAGATACAGCTAAAGCATTTGGAACGACCAAAGCGTCATCACCGGACGGAGCCAAACGTAAATATTGCCGCCTAGTGACGGGTAGCCACTCTCACCTGTGCTGCCAATGCTGTTACAATCATGGAAGCGGATCCCAATGCTGTTGAACGAGGCAAGGTATGATTTGTAGACGCCTGATCGTTTCCTAGACTACATACGTGTTGTACATAATCGTACAACAAAGTCATTGTAATAGTGGTATAATAATCACGTCGTATTATCAATCTCTTAGTATTGACTCCCATTGATTTTCGCTATACCTAAGCAGTCAAATATTCCTGCATACTTCACTCCTTAGGGCTATATTGACTGCTTATATTTGACTGCTTCGGGGTTGCGCAGTTGAACGGCGCCTAGTGCAGCATGGTCACTGTATGAGTAGGTGATCAGGTGATGGTGCAACGGTTGCGCAATCATATACCGGGATTCATGAGGTTATCGGTCTGGAATTTGAAATACGGACTGTTTGTCGTGGTAAATCTAATATTGACTTCGTACTTGGTCAGTACAGGAGATAAAACCTCGTAAAAGACCTCGGTTTCGCCTTTATCTTTTACTCCGCTTTTATTTCCTATACTGACCTCGTACTCAGTCAATAGTAGATACGTATTACAGTTATTCAATCTGCAGACAGATCTGTTTCGTTCTTTGTGGACTCATCAGCGCAGCGCAGAGATACAGTTACAGTTAGATGGGACTTTGCTCTGGGCATGGACACTCTGTCGTTATTCGCGAATTGTCGTTTTATCCGCAGTCGTTATTAGCGAAGTTGACTGTAATTCAAATCTAGTAGTTGCATAAGCAACACGTGTACTTCCATATCATGAGGTATTATCAGGGATATGGGTAGTACCCTCTGGGACAAGGGCCAAAACCCTTCTGTCACTTTCAAGTTTTCCCTTGTGCTTGATAGGTGTCTATTCATTCAAGCAACATGAACATTGTAAGTGACAAATACTGTCAAATACTACCCCCCCCCCCCATCCCCCCAACGAAGAACAGACAGATGGCAGTAAAAAGGACCGCTCGACTTCACCAGCCCGCCTATCATATTGTTGCCGTTTCTCTTGCTTGCGTCGTCGGCAACACCACGAAAGTGAGGGGGAGCGATTCGAAGACAAGTCAGGGATGAAACCTGCACATCCATGAAAGTGCGCTCGAACCGACCTGTTGTTTTGGTTTGTTGTTTTCTTTATTTGAATTCCCTAAAACCAAACGGGCAGAACTGTCGAGTGACAAGGGAGCAAATGATGAGCGTCCTCCCCAAACCCCGCTTGCCACCACGTCCAGACAAGCTTGATCAGCCGTCGACGCTGACTGACCAGAGGGAAACTGCTCTCCAGCAGAGGTTGGAGACTCAGTTAGGCTCCACAGCAGCATGGTGGACCACACCTTTGAAGGAAGTTGCCAGGATGCCACAAACCTCATTGTGGTTTATGGAGGGGAATCCTCAGGAAGTGCATGACAGAGTGTGATCAGCGTTGAACGACTGGTCGCAGGTACTGATGCTGGGTAGACAGGGAGGAGTCGGCGGCACAACCCGTCTCGAAACTCTCCCTTTGAGAGGACGCATCCATGCCCAGCAATTGGACGGCAGGTAAGCCAACTAGATGTCCTCTCTCTTCTGCCTGGCCAATGATTGGGCGGAACTCATTGTTCCTGGTGCGGAGTGCATTGACTGCCGTCTTCATCATTGTCCTGGACTCTGAATGAGCTTGGTGCGTCATGCCACGGACAGCGGAAAGAGCATTGCGGAGACACTTGTCCTGTGCCAGGATGCGTTCGCATAGGGCTGTGATTATCCGCTGCAAAGCTGTGTGTTGAGAGTGGAATGACATGGGATTGACCACACCGGGGCCACCATGCTGGCATGGGAAAGCGAGCCAGGTACGCACAGTATCGCTGGGTGCCGTCTGACTAGCTGATGGTAGGGATGATTTCTTGGTGGATGGGTGTTCAGTGGGTGGACGACTCCAAGCAATTGAGCCTATTGAACCATATCACGTATTGTGAAACTCTGCCATCTGCCATCTTCCATATCAAAAATGCGCTGGGGACAATTAATTTTGGAGTTGCCCTTACAGTGCACTCGTAAAACAACCCACTCTGGTACACGTTTTGGGCCTTGACCTCCTACTGACTTTCACGGAAGCTTTCCTAAAATATTTCTGCCCAACCAAACGTGAATTGAATTAATGTCTGATAAAGTTGCTTCCAGCCGAGTCTCATGCGAACCGTGAATTTGTTTTTAAAAGTTGAGTAACGATGGTAAAAATACAAATCGCGAAATCGTGGTAGATGCATGCCCGCATACACAACACTATCTAAGTTTCAGAGTTCTGGCAAGAGGGGCTCCTTCCCTTGCTACCACCATCCGTTTGCAACTGGCGACAAACTTTCTCTTCAGGGTCAGCCTCCTTCCTCTCCATCTAAACTACATGCATGTTCCGCCCCCCCCCCCATTTAATCCAGATCACTTGAATTCTGCACAAAAGTACATGTGCAATGAAACCTGTCTAAGACGACCATTCAGGGACCTTCAAAATGTGGTCTCTGTTACCAGGTGATCTCCTTATCCAGGGTCGTTTGACTTGAAAGAGAATCCCTTTTTCCTGGTTGGTGTGGTCTCTTGGGATAGGTGGTCGCCTTATGCTAAGTGGTCGCCTTGACAGGTTCTGTTGTACGTTGTGGCATGAGCATAGGTATTGGGGTGTGCATGCAGTGCTGTTTGAGTGCTATCATGCAATTCATCAGACTTGGTCGGAAGGTTCACACTCTGTCCGAAAGCCATTCCGAAATTATACATTTAATTTGATTTCAACATTATCACCAATAGATTCTTCTATATCCGGACAACTACCAGAAATCTATCACCAATAGAATATAGATCATCGGCACTGTGTGTGAAACAGCCAGCTGTCCTCAGATTGAGTACACGTGGCGTGTATTGATGCATATCACGGTATGTGTACGAGTAGTCGCAAGTATGGCGATATAGCTGTCTAGCTTGAGACAGATGGTAAGATTAACTCGTACATGCACAGTTAGTAATATACTGTCCACCGGTTGCACCCTGAGTTTCTCCCAAACCCACTCATTGAATTGTAAAAGTTGCAACTAGCTGTCGTCTAACACCTGCAGTTTTTTGTACTCCATGTTGTCTTACCCAGATCACCCAGGCCACTAATGCGTGGATACCTCAAGTACTGACTAAAAGACCGTACTGGATATCTGGCATTCTAATCCTCGCCATCTTACTAGTTGTGTGGAGCAGCCACGGAACGTCGACATTGAAAACCATACGCTGGGTGAAGACATACCTTGAGGGCCAGGGGAAAGTCTGCAAGCCTGAGCCTATGCATTTTGGCCTGAGAAAGCCTTGTCCTGGACTGCCAATTCGTCCGGACACTATCCTTTATCTAGTGATGGGCAAGAGCTTCCCGAATGCATCGTGGATTAAGAAATCTCGCTGGGAGAACGTTTCTCTACACTTTCAAGCGTGGAAGCTGAACGTGACCGAGAAGATGTTGCCTCTAATGGGGAAAACGCTTCGTTGGAGCTTCTTCCCTCACTCAACTTGGACCACTGGGCGCAATAAGCAGATACAGGAAGCATATAACTGGGAAATGGACCAAGGCTGGAAGTTTGAGTTCTTTGTATTTTTTGATGAAGATGTCTATCTGAGCTATCGGACGCCTGAAAATCCCTCTGTTTCTGTGTGGCAAGGAAGTGATGAACATGCCATGAAGCGGTTTAACAAGCTTCTCCTACAAGATCGTCCGTTCCGCGCCGGCATCTCCTTCAATGATCACACGAATGCGGACTACAACTGGTCAAGGACAAACTTTGGTTGTGAGCGTCGGTGCGGAGTGGATAACGTGGTAGTGGCAATGCACAGAACTGGTGTGGAACTGCTGCTGCCCTATCAGACCGAGTTAGATAGCTTCAGTTGGTGGATGTCCGCGTACCTCAACAACCTCATGGCAGCCGTCCTGGCACCGCGATTCTGTAACTTCTACCGGGAAGTGATGGTGGAAGTTGGTTGGCAAAATCACGGCTCATATCTACGCGGTGAGTACTACGAGTTGGCAGAGGAGACCTTCCTAGACTGCCTCATATCTCACAACTACACAGGTTTTGCAGACATGGACAGCGGTGAGGCCATCAGTAAGATACGCCATGGCCTTGGCCCATCAGTGGCTGATGCTAACAGAAAGTGCGTCAAGCACCCAGCCGGGGTGGACTTCAGAACTTTGCTACAGGATCAACTAGAGAACTGGGTAGTAACATGTTTACCTATCAAACATTGATCATAGTAATAGTCATTTTTATAAGACGGGTATACCACTGGAGCAAAATTGGACAATACACCCACTAACAATCAGTTGGAGACAGTGGTAGAGACTTCGGCGATGGCTTCAGAGGAAAGCGAGTGTCAAGTCAAGTTCGCGAGCTCCGGTGTGGGGAGCAACCGACTTTCCTATAATAATTATTATCAGTTGCTGATGAGATTGTCATGCCGATATCAGTCTTCAGCCGACAATTTCCAGCAGCCTGACACGCAAGTTTTGTGGAAGATTGAGATTAGCATGAAATTCTCAGTAGCAACTAATCCTGAGTTATTTCTTGTCTTCAGTGTTTATAAAGACTCTGCAGCCAATGCATTGACCACTCTTCCAGCAGATACTACTACTTCCATATACTTGGAACTTATATTATTTGGGACGAAACAGTTCTGTCAGCAGATTGAGTAATCCACCACTTTCTGAAAGATTGAGCATTACTACTTCGAAGTATTATTTATATAATTATATATTTATATAATTTTTATCTATCCAACCCGGATGCATGTATCTAAAATTGAAGCAGTAGTAAACATCGACATACCATCTTTTTCTGCCAGAACTTTGTGTAACTCCTGCTTAGCAATTTTCGAAATGCGAATGGTCTCAGGGTACCACAATCATTGTGCAAATCTTCAGGGATGAATTCACCTTCGTTGTTACTCCCTGTCACCGCAATACTAGATACAGATTACTGCTTTATAACTAAATCCTTATTGCTCATCTTTATAATGAACTGTATTTAATACTGGTTGGAGTAAATCGTGCTATTGATCTGTATTCCTATTCGGATCATGTCCTACATACACTGTAGAAGCAACATTGAATTTGTACCTTACGGTGCACCAGTATCGCCAACGATCTGACTGATGAAGTAAGACACACAGCCTAGGCAATATTTGAGTTACTCAGTTTCAGACTTGCTGTAGTAGAATCAGGAGGGTAGCCACAGTTCCAACATCAGCAATAGCAAAATAGTTGTCAACAAGCAGCACTTTGCCTTCCTTCTAATCCACTCAGCGCCCACCAGCACCACCAGGACTTAGCGTTCACCAGGACCAGGGATACTCGCTTATGGCCAGCGATGCTCTATATCATTGCATTTAATACTAAAATATTTGGGCATCATTGCGTTACTTCTTTGCCTTGCTCATTCCGTTTATCACGTTTACTTGTTCTGTTGTTTTCAAAACTGTACTCTTTCAGTATCACACATGCTCGCTTACCTGTGCAAGGTTGATCCTGATAACTTGGACTTAACAGTCACTTGGGCGCTTGCTCATTCCGTTTTGTCCCTTTCGATACTCATCCAGCTTCTCTCTCTTTTCTGTCCTCTACTGTAGTGCCTTGTCAGGAGCATTATGTTGCCTGTACAAGTGTCCCTGTCACATTACATAAATCATTATTCTTTTATTCCACGATGGTGAGACGCCAGTAAAGAAGATTGATATGTGCGGAGCAGGAACAGGTACGGCTCAAAAGAAGACTGGGTGCATTTCTTTTAATTGTTTGGAAAGATTTCTACGAGGTTGGGTGGTGATGTGGCCACTGATGTCGATAGGGAGTGAGTTGGTGATGGCACTTCTGATGGGGGAATCTCGGTGCCTGTTCGTGTGTGTTCGAGTTCGATGAAGGTCCTTTTCTGTCGAAGGGTATAATTATTATGGTTGGGTGTTGGCGTTGTGGTGCAAGATGTGCTGGTTGCAGGTGTGGTGGAGAGGTTCGGGGGGGGGGGGGGGGATGTCCCATGCTAGTAGAGCTTGCTTGCTTGACAAGGAGTCGTGAGCTAAGGGTGGAGGGATTTGCATGATGGAGGAGGGAACTGTGATGAACTGGTGCAAAGAGGGGAATCCGAAGGCAGATGCGTGTATCACGGCGCTGAATTCTCTCCAGTGTGATGTTGGTGATGTTGGAGAGGGAAATAGGCTTCAAATAGCCAACCACGGCAAGAAAAGAAAAAAAGGAAAAAGAGAAGAAGGAAGGATAAACAAGCAGTCAGCAAGGAGAGATCCTATTGTGCTACATTATGCGATCGGAGAGCAGCCTCGGACCTAAAGCTGGAAAGACATTTGGAAATCTTAATCTTAACATGCTGAGGAAGTCGCAGCCAAAATAATATGTAAGACAGAAACAGAGCAGAGTTGGTAAATGCGGCTGAATTAGCACAAGGAACTGAGAGACTATCAATATACTGTTGAACGGTACCTTTCGGCTGTTGAATAATACAAGAAACTAACTCTCCTCCTCCATGCGCTCTAAAGCCGACCATTGCTACCCTCGGTAGCCATTACTCACACCAATAACTTCAAACAACGAAGGGGTCATGGGTAAAACATTTCCTTCTGACAGCTGTTTCGCCTATCAAAGTCTCGTCAGATAAGGTGATACTGATAATAGAGGATTATTGTAATCGACATGGCATACTGATTTACTGATGGCATACTGATTTACTGATGCCATACTGAGTATGGCATGTCGATTACAATATCAGTATCACCTTCTCTGACGAGCCTTTGATAGGAGAAACAGCTGTCAGAAGGAAATGTTTTACCCGTGACCCCTTCGTTGTTTGAAGATATTGGTGTGAGTAATGGCTACCTAGGGTAGCAATGGTCGGCTTTAGAGCGCATGGAGGAGGAGAGTTAGAACTGAGAGACTATTATATCAATACCAAGGTATATTGATAATAGGCTGAAAGCGCTCATTGTGCCACGTGTCTTGTGCAGTTGGTGCTGTAATTTCCTGTCCTTGTTGGCAGTGTTATATGATGTGTTGGGTCCATCGCATTTCGTCTTGGAGTGTAACGCCAAGGTGCCTATGTTGGTGGACCTCCCACCATCACTGCTGCGTCTTGGTGCAGTGCCCGCTCAGTAGTTTTCACGTTTGTCCTAGTCTCCGTACCATCGTCTTTCATTATTCTTTTCGAGCTGATAATGTGAACATAGCAAAAACAAAAAATAAATAAAACCCTGCAGCAGCAGTGTAGAAAGGAGTGTGATAAGGATGATGTGTTGGGGTTGGATACATGTATTAGGAGGTTAGCAGTTTTAAAAGCAACTCGTTCTAGGAGACAAAAAGCACAATTTGTTTTAACTATTCGCCAACATGTTCGGGACTCAAGGACTCTAGACATTTTCACGAACCCATTTTCGCGCATTCCCTTCAAGTAAAATACAAGCAGCTAAAACAAATGAAACTTTTTGATAAAATGAATAGCATCAAAACGGTGCCTTTGCGTACCGGTAGGCAAGCTTTTGTGTTCAATCGTACACTTGAATTACGTGTTTTATTTATTGCTGAATTCGGCTAGTGTTTTTCAATTTGATTCTTACTTTATGCCTTTGTGAATAAACCCGTTATCGCAACGTTGGTGACTATTACAACTAATTGATAGCTCTAGCGAAGATATAATATTATGACAAAGGTGATAGAACTAAATATTGATAGAGACAAAATTCAAGAAAGGAAGAGGTGAGAAGAAGACAAGAGGGGCCCAAACACACTCTGCAAAGACGAAAATCTGCCAAACGCTACAAGTCTTTCACTAGTGGAGCAGGTATACAACCTGAGAGATACAAGTAGGGTGAGCAGTAGTAATCATAAGGAATGGACTGTGATGGGTTCAAGCTCGGATATGAGCAGGACGCCTTCTAGTATTTGACTAGCAGGTGACAAAAACACTTCAGACAGAGGGATGGCCGAGCGTTTGGAGGACTTGAAGAGTTTGAGTGGCTCTAATAAAGATGACAGCAGAGGCAATAGGTGCGCTACACGCAGTACAAATATTAATGAGTACTCGGCGTCAGCAAACAACACTTTCCATTCTTTCAATCACTCCACCTTTGGAGCAGTCACGTTCCAAGATCTTTCTCTCTACCTCTCTCGATCTATCTACATGTGCCTATCAATCTATCTCTATTATTTTATCTCTCTCTAACCTGCTGCTCTCTATCTATCTCTATCTCTATCTCTCTCTATCTATCATACCTCACCATCATATCTATCTATCTATCTATCTCTCTTTCTCTCTCTCTCTCTCTCTCTCTCTCTCTCTCTCTCTCTCTCTCTCTCTCTCTCTCTCTCTCTCTCTCGCCCACCACAAGGTCTAGGTATCACTGCTGGGTATGTGCGCAGAGGCAAGGGGGTAGAATCACACGAGAGTAGATGAGTGTACACGCAACCTGTGATATCAGCAGGCGAGGAGTCTGTCTTTTGCAGTACAGTCTCTAGAAATATTATTATTTTTAAAATGGAACTACTGGGGTAAGAATCTCCCGTTCAACTCTTTCAACCTCATGAGTCATGAGAAAGAAGTAGTATAACTATTTAGACCGTATAAGTGAAGAATGGGGTGTAAAGAACTCAAGCTCAGACATAAGCCGGAAGCCATAGAGTCCATGATGATACGCCGGTGAATAACCATTCCAGACAGAGGGATGGCCGAGCTGATGGATCACTTGAACATGTTGATTGCCTCTAATGAAGATAAGGGCACAGACAATAGGTGCACTAAATGCACTACAAAACGTACTAGTGAGTGCTTGGCGTCAGCAAATATCACGTTCCTTTCATTCAATCAATCCACATTTGGAGCAGCGACATTCTTCGAACTCTTCCCCCCCCCCCCTCTCTCTCGCTCTCTCTCGCTCTCTCTCTCTCTCTCGCTCTCTCTCTCTCGCTCTCTCTCGCTCTCTCTCGCTCTCTCTCGCTCTCTCTCGCGCTCTCTCTCTCTCTCTCTCTCTCTCGCTCTCTCTCTCTCGCTCTCTCTCGCTCTCTCTCGCTCTCTCTCGCTCTCTCTCGCTCTCTCTCGCGCTCTCTCTCTCTCGCTCTCTCTCTCTCTATCTCTCTCTCTCTCTCTCTCTCTCTCTCTCTCTCTCTCTCTCTCTCTCTCGCTCGCTCGCTCGCTCTCGCTCTCCCTCCTGTCGCTGGTTAAGTGATCCTGTTACCCTTTATGTACCGCGCCCATCTCGAACCGTAAAAATATTAAAGACGCTAACATGTACAATGTAGGGCTTGATTCGTGAAGTCAATTATTATAATGACTTTCAATATTCAATCTTGAAAAGAGTCTTTATGGCACATGTACACTATGGCATTTACATGTACATGTACATGTACAGGTGCATGTACAGTCGTGGCCAAAGTAATCCGACCTATGTACGGAAAGCCCCGCCAAGACTAATGAGGTGCCCCCCCCCCCCCCGCCCCCCCCCCCCCCCCAGCCCTCAGATGGGTTTTTGGACGGATGGGAATGGAAATACGGCTTTGATACCTTTGACTCCAAGATCAGATTTCCTAGGCCACGACTGTACATGTACATGTACATGTACATGTTATCAAAATGAGAATCAGTGTCTCCGTTTCAGAACTACATTTGTATAGCTGCAAAGTATGATGGTTTTTGCGCAACTTCAAACCCTTATCCTCCATGACCTTCTACTTAGTAGTCTGGCATGACGTCAG